GGGGAGATGAAATTCCGCGAGACGATCCAGCATTTGTCTCCGGTGGTGTAACTGCAGCAGCAGCAGCGCAGCGGCGGTGGTACGGTGCAGCGACCCGGCAGCAGCAGCAGCAGCAGCGCGGCTATATTCGAGCGCCAGCCGGAGACGTATTGATCGGGGTACCGGGCGAGAGGGCGGCGGCGGCGGTGGCGGCTACGCCAACAGCAGCGGCAGTAACAGCAGCTAACACTCTCCTATGAATCTCGTGCGTTGTATATACGGTCCATTCTCAGTGAAAACAAGTAGTCATCAATTTTTTTTCTGCTGGCATGAAATTTATTTTGTTTTTCACGTCACATATGTCCCTAATTATTACCGGTATATTTAGATTAGCTTGGACCCTTTTTAGAGACCTAAAAATGTCGGTTTTCCTAAATTCATGATTATTACTAATATTTAAAAAATTCCTAGCTCAGCCCAAAGGGACTTTCGGGATAAATGACTAGAAAGCTTTTTACTGAAAATTGTACAAACTTTCCGAAAAAGTACTTCAAAAGGGTATGACCACTTTATAAATTTGTTATATCGAGAGTTCGATCTAAACTTTCATCCGCAATTTTAATAATGGGTTGCTCAGTCGCAAAAACGCCAAAAAAAATTTCCTGGCTATCTTCCGCTATTTTGGCCTTTCTTCCATGTTTTTTTCACATTTTTCAATGGTCTCAGATGTTTGGGGCTGTTGAAAAAATCAAACTATTAAAAAATTTAGGAGAATTCATAAAGATATTAATTGTGAGGAGGTTCTGTAAATAATTTGGTGACGACAACAATTTAATCATGCGAACAGTAAAAATTTTATTTTACTTTTTGATTTCCCAGAGAATCGGCCATATATGCGTAAATATACGTATATACGTATGTATACTTGTATACAGAAGCAGAAGCTGATCTCGATGCACTTTTAACTTTGCCGTATTTCTAGATATTTATAAGGTAATATTTTTCGAGTGCAACATCGCATATAATGATGCCTTCAAACTTGTTGCCTCCGAGGGTTTGAAAGCTAATTCATGAATGTATATACAGCGTAGAAATAGTTTTCTTGAGTTTAATCTTTGCGCGCGTGGCAAAGCCAAATAATTTTCGGATATTAACGCAGCATATAGTCGAAGAAAATCGCGTGCGCGGTTAGTAAAATTATAAAGCTTTGCCACACTCCTCCCTCTACGTTTTCCATGAATATAAACACGAAAAATTTTCTAATATACTTGCTATTACATAAATTTAGCAGGGGAAAATCAGCTTACAGTCGGCAGAGATTCACGCATTACGGCGTAGAACACGCGTGAGCAAAAGAAAGAGAGAGAGAGAGAGAGAGAGAGAGAGAGAAATAAAAGATTAGAGCAAGCTAATCTTACGATATTAGAGCTCGCAAATTTTTGGATTATAATCGTAATTAAAAAATAACATCGGCCATCGCTGTCGCTTGTATCTTCAATATTATTGGAGCTAATTAATGATACGCTTAAAAGTTAATACCTCTCCTGTACGCGCCCCTGCGCTGCTGCTCCCGCCGCCCGCGTGCGCACTCGTGAAACATGAATTTCTCTTTCTTGTGTAAGAGTTAAACTTTTCTTACGTGTAGCAGCACTTTGCTATCTTTGCTTTTCTTGCACTGCACTGTTACTTTTATTTTAACTTTACTCTTATCTATTTCTACTTACAATTTAATTGTGCTTGATCCTTCGCCTCCACGTGCATTGGCCTTTATCAAGCTTTTACCCTTTTTTTTTGTTTCTCGGCCTGCTAAAGGAAAACTTTAACTTAATACCATACTTCTTTGGATCACTTGGAGTGTACACTGCTTCTCCTTTTTCTTAAGAAACTATCGTTAGAAAAATTTTCATTACCTCGATTTTTACTTTATTTATTTGCAAAATATATTGCTTCATTGCTGTCGCGAACTAAACTGTTTTCGTATTCCCTTGATTCTATTTAATCGGCCGAAGGAAAAACATTTAAAAAAAGAAAGGAGCGAAAAAGGCACAGGATCTGACTTTGTAAGGTAGCTGTTTTTTCGATAGGTAAAGAAAAAAACAAAGGTAAACGAGAGAGTATATAATAAAAAAGAGATTCGGTGTATTTCGATAGATGGAAGCCGCCAAAAGTCACTTGGCTACTGTTATTGGTATAGTTATCTACGATTCGATAAAGTTGCTATTTTAAAGATTTTCAATTCTTTGACTCCTCGTTGCGGTATAATCACTTTTTTTTAGTGATGTATTCCTTGGGATTAAGATATCAAATTTTTTGTTTTTGATACCTGTAGTTGTAGTAAGATACGATTAAGAAGGATCAAACTCACTTGTTAATGAACTATTCCTTACAGCGATTTCGAGCTCTACAATTTTCATGCTAAATCCATGCACTTACTACAAAGCTTCTCAAAAGTTGTTTCTTTGCTGCCGATGTCGATAACGTGTAACATATTTCCATCGATTCCTTTTGCATCATTCATCACGTTCTCCGCCCCATTTGTCAAATTCGTTCATCACTTTCGTTTATTTTTTAGCTTACCTGGAAACAAACGACAAAAAAATTGTTAAAGCACATACTTGCAACTCGGTGATTTTTTCTCAATGAATTTGTAAAAAAGATTATTCACAAAGAAGATCCTTTCAATCATCATTCATATTGAATATTACAAAGGCCAGGCGTCGAGCTTCGGATTGGAAATTCTATTTCATACTTCATCGAAGCTCAAAGCTCGTTTGGTTTTGCAAGCTCTCGCGAATTCGGAAATTGAAAACTTCAACTTCTCGTCCACGCTTATTAAAATCGAAGTCTCGTGCGCAAAAAAAAGAAAAGGGGTCGTCTCGAAATTAACTTAAAAGTCAAGCAGGAATTTAGAGGTAGCTTAATCAGTTGGCTAAATACACGGTGAAGCTTGCGGATTTATATACGCTGGTTGGGTAGGCCAAGCGTAAACGCAGCAGCCGCGCGCAACTCGCGCATCGGATTACGCGAATTTTCATACTTGTGTGCACGAGAGAGCTCCGCGTAAAAACGTGTGTGCGCCTCGTGCGCATACTTTTTATCGGTAAATTTTGAAGCCACGCATGCGGCTGTCTGGTAAATGTGGTTATTCTGTTTCGCGCGTGTGCGAAATGTATACGTTTCTAATGTACGCCGCACACAGTCAACGTTGAAATTATAATCTTCTTTGGGCGCGTTACGTTGCGTTGCGCCAGACAAATTCAATCTGCCACTAGGGTCTCGTTCGTCAAAAACAAGCTTTTTACCCTTTTGTCTAGCGAGCGCGACTGTGCAAAAAAAGTAAAAAAAGCGACGCCTCTTAATCACGTACGAAAAGTCACGTTGAAAAATGACGCAAAGTTGCGCTCGGTACGTTCGCATTATACGATTCTTGCGTAAAGTATACACAAACAGTCAGCCTAGCTATAGCAGTGAAATAAAGGAAAAGAGTTGAAAAGCTACAGTTTTATCCGACCTCGAAAGTCTTGTGTGCGCGCGAGGAAGAAGAAGAATCAAAGCTTTTTTTCTGCGTTGCCTCGACGACGACGACGACGACGACGACGACGACGACGACGATGAAGGCCTATAAGGCGCGTGGAATTCCTGGCACGTATGGGTAAACTGTGCGACCCTCTCTTTTCCTATAAACACTCGGTTAGACTGCAGACGTACACGTCGGTAATTGGCCTTTTGCCTGGTCCACTCCGCCTATGAATCGCTATACGTACGGCATAGAATGAACCGATGAGTTCGAGAGAAAAAGTATTTCAATAAAAGGAGCTAGATCCTCGATGATTCCGAAATTTACGCACGACTTTTTCTCCCCCGTACCCTATACAGATATATGCGAAAGCGTTGTTGCAAGCTGGCTGGCCCTAGCTTTTGGCAATATACTTGTGTTTGATTTAGCAGTACTTTTTTCAACGACTTTATTAAGACTTCGAGTGATTTCAATGCGGACGCGTTTGTATGTTTACGCAGTACAAGGAACGATTGAGCAAGGAGAAAATAATGATAAAAACACGATAAAGCTTAAATCATACGAATCATTTCAAGAAACAACTAGAAAATAGTCCCTTCAAAAATTAATTAGAGGAAAAGAATTTCAAGCGTATACTGTTGAAGGAAAACGCTAAAATTTAATGCACATTTAATGTAAAATTAGACATTAAAATTAAAGCAACTGATGCTGAATTATATTTGAAGTACTTTTACATGACATTGCCGTATCGCAGATTGGTATCTTTTTAAACTCAGAGGCAAAAGACGTTCTATTTCATTGCATTTAACATAGAACTTGTTATAACTACTGTTTATAAGTTATAATATAATTTATATTTTATAATACTGATTTACTTTTGAACACATGGATTGTATAAAAAAATACATGAAAATATAACCAGAAACATGAGTTTTAAGGCTAAAGTGAACAGGAAAGATTTATTTTTAGAATAAAATTTAAACTTTGCGATTAAAAATGTATGTTTTAATACCAATTTCGTTTTTGTGTTAATTTTTCAAAAAAAATTTAATCGTATTTAAAGACGACGGTCATCAGTATACGTCAAGTACTTTTATCTGTAAATTTGCAAGCGACAAAGTAGAAGTAATAATATAAGTCAAAGCGTGGTTTTAATAAATTTCTTATACATAAATTATACATAAGTTATTTCATTACTTTTAATATAAATAATTTTAACACTGTACTGCTAGGAAAATTTATGAAAATTCAATCCAAATCAAAGACAATCTCCACCGCTAGATATCGGGAACCTTTATCTGTAAGTCTGCAAGTGACTAACTTGAAATAATTTCATAAGTAAACCACGGTCTGGCAAATCTCAAGTGGTCTTTCTGTTTTTTTGCAATATTATTATTTTTTCATTCTATAATAAAGATTATCGTGAAAAAATCGATCTATTGATTTACTGCATGTCTGTTAATTTCAAAAGGAATGCATATAAAAATAAAAAAAATTAGGTAAATAAGATTTTGCACTTAAACAAGCATTTATTTTTATTTTAATAAGTCATCAACATGAAATAATATTATCATTGAGTTTAAGAATTGATTCAACCGTAAGTTACGACGGGACGTCGGTAAGTGTATGTTGGTTGTACATGTACTACGGGTGGGTCATCATCGTGAGCAGCCTATAAAACATATTTTCGTAATCGTAAAAAACAGCGTATAGAATGGTTATCGATAAAGAAGCCTGTATGGCAAAGTTGTGGTAACTTACAACGCCGTTGAAAACAGCCATCATGCCAACCATGGCAAGAGCCAAGAGAGTGATTGGTGATTTCATCTGCGAAAGAATCACGGATTTTATACAAAATTCGTTTAAGAGATTCGAGCTGGACTAACTTACCATTTTGGTTGATTGATCGGTTGCAAGTCTTCAACACGGAATGTTCTAGTTGAGATCGCGTTAGTCTTTTTATACTCGAGTCTCGAACTGCACCTGTTTAAGCCTAAACACGTTTGTCGTTATCAAATCTGCTTCGATAGTTCACGGAGTTTCGCGTGTATCGCACGTTTCAACACGGTCTACCGTGTACACTCGCTCGCATGCGTCATCATAATAATTATTCAGGTGCTCTAGTGTCGCAAACTTATTAAATTAAATCGGAGCTCCAGACTAGCCACGTAAAAACTATTCGAGATTTGAAATTCTCCGAAAACTCAGTCATAGTCAATGCATCATAAGCGAGCAATAATTTAAAATCGATAAACTGGCTCAAACGCCAGTCCTTCGTGTTTCGATCCGTTGTTATTCCAAATGAATCCGGGCTATGAATTACTAGATACGTATACGACACGACGGGTGGGCTTAAACGTCAAAGACGCGACTCCGTGCGCCGGAGTACACCACACCACGTGCTGTTTACACGCTACATAGATATACATATATAAATGCACATACATCTACGGTATATAAAGTACATCGATGCGGCATATACGCTACGGTGGCACCAGACGGCTCGAGAATTTTAAGGACGCGTTCGAGCGTTCAACGCGTGCGGTACTACACTACTACTACTGCTACTACTCTCAAACTGCGCTGCAACTTCCTTGATTTATCGTGTAAATGGTCCGTATGATTTTGCGGCCCAGCAGTGTTTTTCGGAATTCAATGTGTGTGTGCGGTGAGCGCTAGCTATACAGAGATCGATTTTAGCTCTTCATTATCGCTCGCTCGCTCATTTTCTGGGACTTTTTTTTTGCTTCGGTTTTTACGTCGAATAAAATAAAATCACAATACCTAAGCGCCACGGCATTATTTTCTTAGCCGCGCGCACAGGCGTCGGTCGAATATATTTATACCGTTGTTTCTGCGTTGGGTGCCAGTGCCCAAGAGCACTCGCAAAGATAAACCGCAAGAAAACGAGCTATATAGCGCTGGCTCGCTATAGTATAGCCGAGCATCGTTATACAGAGGCCGAGTCGAGAGGGACACAAACGCGCACATATATACGATGTAATACGCGTGCCGCGTTAGGGAGATTCTCTAATGGCGCCACACACTGTATACACGTATATGGAAGGAACAACGACCGGCAAGATCGTATCACGGCGCTGGAAATACAGCCCTTTTACGATTCTTTCCAATTTAGGGAGCAGAAAAATTAAGATGTACATCCGGAATGTGGACATTGGCGAGGTAATGAATGTAATATTAAACGCTTGCTTTTCGTAGAGATTGCAAACAAGGACCATAATTTCACGAATGTATTGAGCGCAAAAGAGTCGAATCGGCATTCTTTGGTCAAAATTCGTGTAACATCGGATAGCTGCTAAGTGGGATCGATTAAATCCGCTATGTAATCCTGTTAATCCTGTTACTTCGAGTTACGAATATTTCAACTCACAATGGTTAAGTAATATCAATTTATCCGCAGGTTCATTGTGTTGCCTCATCACTTTTCAAAGGTAATTGGCCTTTCTACTTCGTTATGTTCGATCAATCGCTTTCACTGCTCGTAACATCTTTTGCAGATCTACAATTTCGGAATTATTTAAGAGTTGAAATCATCTCGTTGCCCGAGTAAAATGATAATAAAAAAATCAGCGCGTAATTTTGCCCCTTCGGAAGTCGTAATGCGAATAATTATTATCGTAAATCAATACACCAGATATAGGTAGCTTGATTCACGAAAGGATTCGCGATGCAAAACCCGCCGCTGCTGCTTACGGCGTTGATCTCGTATTGTTACGGAGATGGAGAAATTTAATTTCGAGATACATTTATGTCTGCGAGCTCGTGTAATTGGTATTCTCACAAAGAATATTAGTGGAGTAGTAGGTCGGGATGAGTAAAAGTACATATATCGTAATTCCGTTGAGCCATCACATGTACTTTTGAAAATACGAATTTAACACGGTAAGATGCGTAATCCTCTTGACATTTTCCCGCATGTATACATAGTTGAATTTCTCGTCAGAGGGCTGTTTCTTGAAATCCGCGCGCGCAGAGCAGCAGCAGCAGCGACTAGTATATCGCAAAAGAAAGAGAGGAAAAAAAAACGTCAGGAAGACATTTTTCAGTCAGACTCGCGCAGCTATATCTTATTTACAGACTCGGGCGTTGGAACCAATCATTTTTCCTTGCAAGTCACACTACGCGAGCTGTCCTCTGCTCGAAGCTGCGGGTTATTTCTTTCTCCAAGCCATATCAGCGCGTACACAAACGCGCGCGCGTTAGCGATGAGAGCTAAAATGTTTCAATTTGTTTTATCGCGAAAATAAATGTAATAAAGCTCGCGAACGCGTAAAAGCTCGACCTATTTGGAGCGTTTTAATAAAAGTCATTCGTCAAATTGGCCAGATGGTGGACGTGTGCGACTAAACTTGGACGCCAACGATTAGCGCGCGAGCGCAAAACCAAATAAGCTCGAATAATTCTCAGGTCGCGCATAGCAAACTTCGCACAGCGGAGACACACACATGCTGTAGCTGCTGCTGTATTGCTTACCTCCTGAAAATGAACCAATAGCGCATATATATATATGTGAACTCGCACACGTGCATTTAGTTGCTGGCTACATATATGTGTGTAGTGTGCAAGGAGTAGTATTTGCGCGTCGACGAAACTCGGGTACACGCAGCACGCTTCTGCTCGCGAAGAGCATTCAGCTCGACACTATATTTGTCCTCCGTTTTCTCTCTCTCTCGCTCGCTCGCTCGCTCTTATATGTCTAAGCGCGTACTGCAGCAGAGCAGCAGCACATGCAAGCTCGGGTGTGTCGAGTCTTGCGGGTACATGTAGGGTAGTAGTTCTCCTCGTTCTCTCTCTTCTCCAGAGCGGCCGAGATATATAGAAACGGAAAATTTGTCTTTAACAGTGGTGTGCCTGCGCGTATACTCGCTCGCTCGCGTGCGATTCTCGTGCGCGAGAGCAAGATAAATGGACGACAAGCTAGACGATGCGAAGCGTTGGTTATGCTTCACACACACACGCACATACATACATACTGTACTCAGACTTCTCTCTGTGCTCTGTGCTCTTTCCTTGCGAGCGTACACACACACACACACACACACATACACGCATACGCAGACGCTTGGGAATTGTACATATACGCCCGAGTAGTGCAGTTCTCGCTCGAGGAAATGTTGCTTGCGCGCGCGCCCCACGTATCGTATGATATACACCGTATGTGTATACGTATTCGCAGACAGGCGTATATGCTATACATATACAGAGATCCTTTTTGCCACGCTCGTTGTGTGTGTATGTTTACAACTGGCAATTGAATTTTCCTGAGGACTTTGAGCACCCGTAGCATTATATCGATTGAATTAAATGCAAAGCGAGAGAAAAATCGGCCACTCCCCGACCGAAAACCTCTCTTAATTCATATACACAAGCCCCGTTGAACAAAGCGTACAATCACTCTCGGGCCGTATAGTGCACCGTCTGCACTATGTACGTAAACGCGTATACATACGCTCGCGCATCGAAACGCACTCCATATACTGAAATGCTAATTATTCGGGCTCTATATTATATACGTTTGCGAGCGCGGCTGAAACTGTAAGACGTCGACGTGCAATGTCTGTGTCAGGCCATGGCTGCTGCTGCTGCTGCTACTGCGTGCCGCAACGATTTCACGAATGTGCTGAATATTACTCACTTGCTTACAAACGCGCGCGAGCCTGCATATATACGCATGCACACACGTGCACGCATACGTTACACGTCGATGGCAGCGTATAGCAGCAATATATGCAGACAAACGTAAACCCGCAACTTCTTAGTCCGTGAGATATGCCACAAAGGACAAGTTTAATATTATTTTTCAACCGATCGTGACAGTGCCCTATGACTGGTTTGATTGTGCAAGCAGTTTCTGAAAAATGCTCAATTCCTGGTGAAATCGAAAGTTGAAAAAATGTTTTTCTGCTGTTGTCTTCGATGCAACACATGTCCTTGCATTTTATTTAAATTTTTCGGGTCAGATAAACCTTGCTATTTTTATTTTGGCCTTTTTGCAGCTTTTTTCTCACGTTTTCCGATACTCTAGGATTTTTTGTGACCACCGAACTTTTATTTTTTCTGAAAGTTTAGACAATTTGCAGCAACAAAGCTCACTAGCATTTTTTTTCCTAAAGTCACTCTCTGCTAAGCTCGGAATTTTTGAAATATTCGTAATGGACATGAATTTCGAAAAAACTGCAGGCCTCTGAAAAGAAGGGGGTAAACAGTCCCGAAAATTCCAATATAATTTAGGGACATTTTTCTGAGGTTAAAAACGAGCTATTCATGCCAGCAAGCATTTTTTTGTACATTCCATTTCACGTAAATCGGTCAAATGTATAAATGTCTTTTCGCGGTTACGTAGGTATATAACGCGGCCACGAGCCTCGATTCTTAATTGCCCTCACAACTCAGTAGAGTGACTATATGCCTGCCTATATGTGAGTTCAGCAATTTAAAAGGTGCCGTTAATAAAAGTAAGTTGCAATTCACACACTCTCGGTGTAGCGCACGATGTGCGATAAACTGCACACTCGCATACTTGTCCATGACACACACACACACACACACACATACACACACAAACTCGCTCGCTCACATTCGTGCGAGAAAAGCTCATAAAAAAGCCCAGAAAAGCACGAGAGAGAAAGAGAGAGAAAAGTGTAACATCTCTCCTTTTTTCGAGGTATTATTTCGTGCATCCTTCTTCGTAGATATATATTACTTTGTTCTGCGCCCGCGACTATATAGGGAGCTTGCAACTGCACAAATCATTTTTCCATCAGGACTCGCTTAGGAGCTTGCTTGCGCGTGTCTATACATATACGAGAGTTGCTCTCGTAGCTCCCATTATTACTCGCGGAACTGTTTCAAATATTATTCTCCCCCAAATAATCGCGAACTAATAAATCCGGCGTTTCGCACAGCGATAAATAGGCGT